AAATTATATCATTTTAAAGCCTATTTATCAGACTGTAAGACACGACAGAAATGATTTCATTACTATTTGTAATAAATAAATACTGACTGATAAACGAGAGGTAGTTCTGGAAGGGGTTTGCGAGAGCTTCCCATTGAATAGCATTGCAAGGAGAGTGCGTTTTGTCAAAACTCTACAACACATACATTTTTATACAGCATTTTACATTGAAGTCAAAAGGGGTTTGAGAACTACCTCTCGTTTATCAGTCAGTATTTATTTATTACAAACAGTAATGAAATCATTTCTGTCGTGTCTTACAGTCTGATAAATAGGCTTTAAAATGATATAATTTTTAAATTGTATTATTATAAGTTTGGTAATCTTTGGTTAAAACCATGTCTAATTTTTATGTCCGACACCGTTATTATAATTTTGTATGGATTCTTATTTTTAAAAATATTGTAAAATAAATTGTATTAAATCTCTTAACAGTATTGCAAAATTGGTTCAATACGCGAGAGAAATATCAAATATAAGTATCATTACAATGACTTACAAAACTGTATGTGATCTAAGGTAGAGTAACATACCTTCCAAAAATAATTGTTATTTTTAAGTCAATAAATGTAAAACAAAAATGTAAGAAAATAAAAGTAATAAATAAATTGATGTGAATTAATTGTATTAACCGAGTTAAACCTAAAATGTTTTAATCGATGTGTTTTCACATAATCTTTGATTTCTGATGAATAAAATTCATTACGATTTTTGCCAAAGGGTTTGGAAAACTCCACGAACTCTGGTTTCAAACATTTATCACTTTTCCAATATTTATCCTTAAGTTTAGCTAACTTTCCGATAGTTTCCAAATGTTTGATAGCGTTTGAGATGACATTTTTGAACAGTAAGTCCTTTCGCATAGCAATCGCGTACTCAAACTCAAAGTGTCTGTCCTTATCGGGAATGACAGTGAGATCGCAGTCGCGATTCACAACGTATTCATTGAATGGGTGTTCAGTAATGAACACATAATCGGAAGCCTTAACCCGTTTGACACCTTCCTCGTCGGTGCCAAACACATAGCTATTGGGACTGTTATCCCAATAGTTATACATTTTGCTGATCACATCACTCGAGTGGATGAGCGGTAGGTTAGCCCCGAACTTCTTGACCCCAAAGTCTAGTGCCGTCTGTTGTGACAAATCCTCGAACGACGATATGTTATGTGAGATGTCTTTCCTCACGAGTCCACTCAAACCCCATCTCATGAACGGGTGACTGAAGTCCACGAATCGTTGTCTACTGTTTAGGACAGTTATGTCTGCGATCGCGAAATCTGTTTCCTATTCAACAAACCATTCAATACATAGTTATTGTCATTTTAATTGATTGCTAGTTACTAAATCATATAGGCATGATCATGATCATTTTTCATTAAAACTTCATTCAAAAGGAAGTCACTTTGTTTTTAAAGTTTTGTAGTTTAAGTTTACTTAAGTGTTTTGATTAAAACCTTTGTCATTGAATTTAAAGTAGAATTAAATAGTAAAATAGACGGGTTATATAAATATAATACTATTTAAGTCTATTAATATAAAACTCATTTCTTACATAAATGTACTTTATAATTTAAACTATGAAATAAAATATTTATAATATCATACTAATAACAGAATATAATAATAAGCTACCGTTTTTGACATGTGTTCAGTATAGTGTGCCAAGTTTTTCAAATTTAATTTGTAACAATTTATCTCAATTCATTCAAATTGGATTCAATTGTCAAAATCTAAATAACATTTGTAATAAATCTACTAAATACTAAATCTTTTGCTACTATTTCCGCATTCATTCTCAATTTACTATCATGGTAAAATACAATTATAACCAATTGTAACACAAGTCTAATCCCAAGGTTTTTGAGGTCAATACACATATTCAAGTGTTTAGTTTAAATAAATGATATATAAAATTAAATATTTAGATACTGAATATTCTTAATATAGTTTCTTAAAAGATGTTTATATAATATCTATTTATGTATATTGAAGCATAAAGTGCTTACATTCCTATAGACCTGTCCAATGAGTCCATCGATAGTCCCATTCCTATTCCAACCGCCGATCTTGTCTTCGGGAGACAATTGCAGAGTATATGCCATTCGAGTGATGGCCGCGATCTCATTGAGCAGATCCACACAAAACCCTTCAAACTGTCCGTTTGCCAGTCTGTTAGAGTACGGCCACTTCTATTGGGTTAGACATACAGGTGCTCACTATTAATTACTTATGTTAGTTATTATGTAACTGAACATTATTTCCATAATTTATTATTTAAATTTTAAAACAAAGTTATTTTCATACAAATGAATCCCTTATACGTTAGAAAAGTTCATTAGAGTTATAACTTATAAGAAATTTCTATTCTATTGTTATATTGTTTAAGAATATGTTCACAACATATCACAACAAAAGCATTATTTAAATTATAAACTTTTGCATTCAAGGTCCTTTCAATTGTCGCCTACTATTGGCATATTCATTCAAAGTATTATATATTATCTATATGTATTTTCTTACTTGTTAGAAATATTATTTAAATTCATATAACTTTTCTAAAATAGTTTTAATTTTAATTAAACATTTAACTTTTACAAATTACTTTATAGTATTTCATACTTTATATATTTCAAATGTGATATTTCATATTGAATTGTGAAACTTTTTGCATTGTTTAGATAAATATTTTTCTGTAATCAATTAAATTTAATAATCGAGAGAATATACAGAATTACAAAATAAAAAAATTTCTTTAAGTATATCTAAATATAGCATTAATATTGCACATTGGAATTTATGTTTATAATTGATTGCATTCAATATAATATAAATGCAATAAAAAAATATTTGAATAGCTAACTTGAATTTCTCAAATTTTCATATGAATTTTTATGACAACATATATTAAAATGTACTGTATCATAATTTTTGACTCATCATAATGGCACTGTTTCATAATGGATCTCAGTTATAACTTATAACATTTGAAATATTTCAAAATAAATCTTTAAAAATACCGGGAATAATATATTATAATAAATGAATATTTATGAAGATACATAAATTAGCTTTAATATTGTTTACATACCCTGATAGTAACGCCTCTAAGCACAACACCTGTAGTAAAATTTCGGAAAACAGAAACGGATAGGAAAGCACTTAAAATACATATTTTGATAAACATTATCGTCTATTTGGGTAAAAATAAAAAGTTTTCAAAAATGTATTATCGATGATGGGAAAACTTATCACAAAACATCGTTTGAATTGTAGATTAACACAAACATATAAGTTATATTTGAAATGTAATAAAAGATTTCTTTACATCTCTTTTTGTAATGAATAGAGAATGTGAGACAAGTGGGCGAACCATTACCTTGAATTGGATGCTCGCATACACACTATGCTATCGCTTGAACTTCACGATTAAATTCAATTATTTCTAAGATTCATGGATTAATTGTTATTTTCATACAGAGTTAGTGATAGCGTCCGAGAGAGAGAGAGAGAGAGAGAGAGAGAGAGAGAGAGCTACAAACAAAAGTATTGTAAAAGCTTTTAAAATAACTTACAATTCTTAAGAGTAATGTTACAACACTTTGTGTTTTTAGGCCAAAAACATCACTTTTTCTTTATAACCAAAAAACATTTGAAAACAAAGTTTTGAAACTGAGCTATAAATCAGAGCATTAATGGATTGAAAAAGAAGACGACAACAAAACAATTAATTTAATTTCACGTCTTTTATTGTTTTTTGGATATAAATTGTTAAACTATTCGCCAAGAGATGAAAATTAGTCGATAATTATGGCATACATTGCATAACCCTTTATATTGAATTTGAACAATTGTTTTGTTTGCGTTACTTATTATACAATAAGACTTGAAAGAGTTTACACTACAGTATAAATAACAGTATATTTGAAAATAATTATAGATTTGCAATAAAATTTAGTCCAAATTGATTTCTTAAACAATAGCAATAACTTAAGGCGTTAAGGCTTATAATCAGTGTATAATAAATTTATTTATAAGTTATAACAATTCTATTATGCATTTTACTAACTAATAAAATGCTTAAATATATTTAGCAAAGGTTTTCGTTTGTGTATATTTAATGGTGATTACAATGATTAAAAGCACTTGAGATCTATTATAAACTTTATAATACAATCATTTAAAATTTATGTATAAAAGTTTT